AAATAATAGCTTGGATATGTGATTCTAAGCGCAATCGACGTACTCCTTGGATCCAAATTCCAACTATATTAGAGCTTAATGTTAGCTATTATTACATTCGAACTGCTTTACGAAACGCAGGCTATTCACGCCGAGTTGCACGCCGCAAGCCTCCTCTTACTGAACGAAATCGACAAGCACGTCTACAATGGGCAACTGAACATGCTACATGGACTATTGAGGATTGGTATAGGGTTCTATGGAGTGACGAAACTTGGTGTAATGGAGATCGACATACAAAGACCTATGTTACACAACGCGCTGGCGAGGAATGGGACCCTACTTGTATCGTTGAACGCCATCAACGTCGGAAAGGATGGATGTTTTGGGGCTGTTTTCATGGTAATATTAAGGGCCCTGGGGTATTTTGGGAGAAAGAATGGGGATCAATCAAGGAGGAGTCATATCGAGCACGAATTCTGCCAATTATTGATGGTTGGATACAAATGAATCAAAACGCAGGGCATCTATTGATATTTATGCAAGATTCTGCTCCTGCTCATGCTGCTAGGGGTACAATTCAAGATCTTCAAGAGCGAGGGATTATCTACATTCAATGGCCCTCTTTTTCTCCAGATTTGAATCCAATTGAGATGATTTGGAATTGGATGAAGAATTGGATTCAAGAGCACTATGAGGATACCCTTCGAAGCTATGATGCACTTCGGATAGCTATAAATGAGGCTTGGAATGCAGTCCCTATAAGCTATCTTGAGGAGCTTATCAACGAGATGCCTGCCAGATGCCGAGCAGTTATAGATGCTGATGGAATGCACACTCGATATTGATCAATCAATCAAGCTAGTCCTAATTAGGCGATTTCTGGGCACTCTATACTTACTATGGGAAGGAGCTGATACATAGCGTTGTAACTTTACAAGTCGTTGCTAGCGCTATACTAGGGATACTTATGCCTCTCCCCGTAGTACACTAAAATTGCAGTGCATCATGAGCCTCAATTCCTGCTTAAATCTGCGGCCCGATTGATCAGGCTGCAGAATCTTACTAAACTGTACCCCATCAAAAATCAGAATTCGCACGTAGAAGGCGCAGAAAAGCGCACAGAATGCGCAGAATTTACAGAATGATCTTCTGATCTTCTATCCTTCTTGCTTTTTTTTATAAAAAAAGTTACATCTAGTGAACGTGCATTCCACCTTGTAAATAATGTGCAGGACAGTGCTTGTGACCCAGCCTTTAAGTTCCGCAACGAGAGGTCTGTCCAAGTACAATTAGTAGGTGGATACGGAGTACCTCCGTCTCTGACATGTCCTCCTTCACGCTCTCCTGCGTACAGCTTCTGTTCGTGTCTAGGTCGTATCGTCGCTCCTTCGACCTCCAGTCGATATGGCAGCAACAATACTCCTCCGGTAAGCTGGGCCAGAATCGTGCTGAGCACGTGATATCACGCGGTTCTGGACCCCGGTCTCTTTGGCAGAATGCGTCGGATATCAATCATATCATTGACTCGCTCGTCTCTCTTACTTCCTACCATCCTCGCTGCATTGGCCAGCCGCGTACTTATCAGTATCGTTGACGATTATAGAGCATTTGTCACAGCCACATCTGGTGGAGGGAAATAATTGTGAGAGGAATGTCTCTTCGTGGTCCCTCTTATATCAACGTCCATTGAATCTTGACAGCGTTCTTCTACGCCTCTTTATAGCTTCGCTGCCGATGTTCCTCACCCCTACGCTGACAGTCTCGTGGTCCCTCTCAAGGTAGATCAAGGCTCCCCTAAAAGGATTCTGGGGCTGTTGCGGTTAAGCCATCTACATTTATATTGGAGGTTCTAGAGACGCTACTAGTTGTTTAGAAAGAGATGCGACATGAGGAGCACAGTCCCATCAACAACGGCGTCGTACCATCTTACGCAAGTGAACGCTAGTCGATCAAGACTGATAGAAATCAAATGAGGAGGAGGATTATGAGAGGACTGAGTCTATCAGGGACGTCTTGGTAATCGCTAACAATATACTAATATTCTAGTAGTCGACTTGGCCACTTTCTTTATTCGTGATAGACCTTACTACGAATATGACATAGGTTACAGTATATGGAGACAAACAGAACGTAAAAAGCGAGCTCGACTAGATCTGCCATTAATAACAATAAGACTTGATTATCCCTCGTTGAATTCTTTAGACAAATTGCCATCTTGATCATGCATTTGATTATCGATACAGTTAATCCTGGTAATAATGATTTAGTGATCATTGTATCTCAAGAATTGTCGTAACAAAGACTCTCAATGAACGATCAAGTCCACCGGAAGTGGAGTACAAAGTACGAGCTCGAACCAGACTTGAAACAAAAGACGTAAACAGATGACTTTCCGCCACAAGAGACATCAAGAATGAGAAAGCGTAAACTTTTAACAAACATGAACATGCTCTATTCGCTTACAGTACTACCCAGATCTTCGTTTATTCTAGTGACATCGGGACCAAATGCTGTCGTTCCCACAAAGTCTGTACCATCGTCTCGTAACCTCTAACGATGTTGTCTGTAGTATATTATCACAGTGTCCACCTTAAACGTTCTCTCTGTTCAGTAACATCTCTATCACGATCTCGCGATCCTTTGACGATGGTGTCTCTAATACATTGTTACAATGTCCACCTTGAGCATTCACCTCAGTGCTCTTGTTCAGCAACATCGTTACCACCTTCTCGTGACCCATCTGATGATGCTACCTGTAGTGCATTACCAAAGTGCTCTTTCTCTTCTTCTCTTTCCTCCTCTTGCTCTTCTTAAAATGCCAGAAAGCAGTGACAGTTATGTAGTCACTGCTGTTGCATCTTTAATTTGATTATCATATATGTATACATCCAAAGGATCTTTCCTTCTCCCTCATTATCCGAGGCGGTGGAATGGGATGCAAGATGCTGTCGAGGTGTATCTTGTACTATCATCAGTGATCATTCAGAAGCGCATTGCACCTGCTCAGTCTCATCACCGCCCATATTCATTTGCTGTCCAGAAGGTGCTTGGAGTTGTTGGGGCGCTGGCTCCTCGTAATAATTGTCACGGTAAGGCTTTGGCTCCGGCTCGTAAGACGAATTCCAAGGCTGTTTCTTTGTCCCTTTGCACACCTTGCAGCGAAATTTTTGTTTTATCACATCACTATGACCATTACACTCTGGACACAATACAAGAGAGCCCGGTAGCAAGGGACCGTGTTGTCCCATCCTAGGCACGAATGCACAACCACCGCAGTGCTTGCAAGCCATGATCTTGCCGTGTCTACCACCACGTTCATTGCAGGCCCGGCATGCATTTGGGTCCCTGACCATAGTGTCAGACATGTTGGGCTTGTCAGCACCGTAGCCACCAGATCTGAAGAACCGTGTAGAGATTTCTTCCGCATTAAGTCCTGCCGATTCCGTGGTCGACTGTGGGATACTGGATTGGCTTCTTCCTCACACAGAAGTCCGCTTCTTAGTAGTCGATACGTACGGCGTGCTCTTGCGGTCAAATGTGGGGACATCGCATATTGTTGCGCTGGGAACCTCCCATGGAGCCTTTTGGGTTTGGACATCGTCATAGTGGAAGCGGCCAGATGCTCCGTCGTCGATCTTGAGCCACCCCAGAAATAGTGCATCATCAGCAGGTTTTGCCGGCTTCGAACGGTCGGGCAACGGTGACCGTGACGCATGGTTTTGAACCCGCTCTGGATTCTCTATCCATTCTTCGGCAGGAAATGCTGTCGCCGTTGGCTTTAAACCTCTTGCAGGTCTTCCCATGTCCGGAGTGCGAGGGTTGGTGCCGGATCCGTAACCAGAGTCATGCATTTCCGCATGATTCAGAGGAGACGATTCGGCTGGCACGGCGTCGTTCTTGTGCTGCGGTCCGTCAGTCGTCGCTGTTGGTTGCTGTTGATTTGCTGATTGAGCCTGTTGCTGTTCAGCGGCGCCTGGAGGGGCCGAAAGGTCGACAGTCGTCCGTTGTTGCAAGAGTAGTCTTAGCAAGTGGGCAAAGCGCTCGAGTACAACACGCTGTCTCTCTGTAGGATCGGTGTAGGCTGCGAGGGACTGCTGCAGCTGGGCAAGGACCGAAGTACTTGTGCAAATGACATCTGTCCGAGTAATCGGCTGCTGAGTGGACGCTTGACTTATGTCGTCGCTGCTGCAGTTTTCCTGCCGCTCGGTCTCTTTCTCGAGCTCTGGGAGCTTCTCTAGGGCATCATGATGGGCAAGAAGAGCATTCTGAGCCTTGAGGCCTTCTTTTCGTAAGATGTTGTCGAGATCTGGAGCATTATCTTTGCTGGACTCCGCTTTCCGCTTGCTATATCACCTCGACGTTAGTGGACATGTCAATGTGAGGAACGGCCAAAACACTGACCTGCGAGATCGAATTTACCTGCCAGTGAAAATGATGGCGACCAGAAGATGAGCAGTACTCCGCAAGTAGTCAATCTCTCCAACAAGAAGCGCGACTATTGGCTTCGTGAAGTTCCATTTCACCTTCTGCAAGAACGAAATGCCGTCTTTGCCCTCCCAGCGGGAATACGGTGTTTACAAGACCAAGACACCATGTTCTGGATAATGCAGAAACCCGCATACAGAACGCTGTATAAGTCTTCTCGTTCGGTCTCCTCCAAGGCTTGTCCTTCATCTCATTCGAGTCGCTACTTGGATGATGGAGTCAATCTGGTGGTCGTGAACTACGATGTTCAGCGGAGAGGAGACAATGGTTAAAGAAAAATGCTACTGTCGAACATTGGCTCCGAGGAAGCTTTGATGCTGTCAGGTCTGTGTGAGAATGGGTGAGAATGGGCAGCGAGGAAACTTCGGTATGCCATAGCCAAGGGTCGAGGAGGGTATGCAAGCGATTGAGGCACAGTCCTGTCCTTCAAGGTGAGGGGAGACCTTGGTCAAATATTCCTCAATGGTTCAATTGCTTTGTCAAGGAGACAGAAAGTAAGTTGACGAAAGGAATGCCATCCCATAATGGTGAGGATGAAAATGGAAAGGAAGCAAAGAGTAAGCAATCTTTCTCTCTGGGAAAACGGACAAGAGAAGAGCAGAACACAGAATACAGATCTCGATCTATGACTTTCCAAACCAAGCAGACTTGAGAATTGACCCATTGACGATATCTTTGTTTCTATATGCAAGAATGTGTTGGCAGATCATTTTTCTTGATAGACTTCGTGTCCAGCCAATCACACATTGTGGAAGAGGTCATATTGGAGACCGTTGCATTGTGGGCAAAAGATTCTGATGCCGGTGTTGACATTGTCCTGCAGTGAGTAGTTGGGGCGGAATTGTCGAGGTCCTCCGGCAGCAATCCATTCATGTCTTCTGGGTTGGCATTGTGCGCGGATCACATATTTATGCTTGTCGGTGGGTCGTCGTTCCTTGCAGCCTGCGTATGTCATGGTAGTCTTGGTGCACATGGTGGAATTCTTGATCGATGTGGGTATGTGTCTCTCAATACTCGTGATATGAAGTAGACAATAGAAAAGATCAATGCAGGGATGAATGGACAGATGGCTCAGAAAGACTCGGTGAGAGTAGAACGAACGGCAGCATGTCTTGTTTTATACACATTCACAACCTACCTCAGCCTGACCAGACTCGATCAGCACGGGCAGTGGTGCTGTTAGATGTTTGACGCAGGGTGTCCTGTCGCTCGTATTCACGAATGGCCGAGATGGATTTGAAGCAATCTAATCTCGTGTCAGCAAGTTTCCATCCTGTCGCTCATTGCCTGTTCTAGCAATTTCGTCCTACACTGGACATAAGAGGTTAGGGTGTGGGTGACTGAATGAGTGAAACAATTTGCCTGGTTCTGCCTTGGTGAAGCTGCTATCCCAACCAATGGTACGGAAATTGTGAAGATAATGCCAAGAAATGGCACGTGATATTCCGACTTGGCGGTACTTTTGGATTTTACTTCCGGTATTTTCTGCTATGCACAGTTCTTTCTGCTATACCTAGTGCATTCTGCTGTGTACGGTATCTTCTGCTTCTCCTATAGCAGTTATTGTACGGCCGAAAGGACTTGCTCCTGGTAAGACGATCCTCCTCCGCCATTGGAAGGCCAAGAACCATTTGTTTTGGATCTTCTTCATGAGGCCGCATTGGCATATGTTTCCCAGGCGAGGAAGGACAAAAACAAGATAAATTTTGTCACTAAGGTAATACGTATTAGCCTTCAAGAGGAGGGCTACTCGTGTACTTACTATGTAGTGTGCCAGAAGTCGACCGGCTGGCGGAGAAAGAATGGCTCTACCCTTTTTGTCGAACTTCCGAACCGGATTCAGACGAGATGCAGCTAAATATGAAACACGAGAATGCTTTGATTCGTTTTGATTTTGTTTTGGAGACATAGGAATTACACCTCCAGACACTTTGACAGTCAACCCAGTGTTTTAAGTGCTGATATGCCCCTGAAGACACTTATGGTTTGAACTAACACGATGGAAATGCATTCATTAACAGAGGCACAACACTCCCGACTCTGAGGGCTACCGACAAACAGGTCAGAAGGCGTGCAGCATCTACCAATTCACCCGCAATCCACTTGAACGTGGTATCCGGGCTTCCATTCCATACAATGAGCGGCACGCGCTTTCAAGCCTGCTGTCCTCGCCTCCCCCGTCGTCGTTCCTCCCCCTCCGCTGAATCTTGGCCGCCTCGATCGCCTGATATTACCATCTCCCAGTCCGTCGAACTTTGTGAAGCCGAACCCTTCACTAGTAGCATCAATGGGGATGTTTATAGATGTCGTCAAGCACAACGAGTCATCAAGAGCCGCGCTTCCGATCGTGAATTTCGCCTGATGAAAAAGGCAGGGCCCTGTTCCGTCAGACCAATAGGCCGAGTAGTGACGAAAGATAAGCAAAGCGGGAATGTCCTCGTCACAGGCATCATCATGGATCTAGCACTACCATTCGACTACACAGTAATTTCTGCTCAACAACGAGATGGCCTTGCAAGAGAAATGATCAATCTTACGCAAAAACTTCACAATACACAATGTGTCATCCATGGAGATATCAAACCCGAGAATATGCTCATCAGGCGCTCAGACTTCCGCCTCATCTTCTGTGATTTTGCCGAGAGCAGGATCAGAGACGAAGACCCCAATCGGTGGCAAGGAGCAACCACCATCAACTATCTTGCGCCAAATAGAGATCCCAACAAGGCGCCGACCTTTGTCGACGACTTGTATGCGTTGGGTTTGAGTATCTGGCAGCTTTACTCTGGCAGGAAACCTTTTGCCAACCTGGAGCCAGATCAGATCTTGGAGCTGCTGAAGCAGAAGTGGACTGTTGATTTGAACGTCATCACCGATGCCCCAATCAGAAACATCGTGGCTCGATATCTGTCGATGGGTGGCGCCACACTTGAAAAAGGGTATCCATGATTCAGCCGTCTGGAAAGAAGCGTGAAGATCGCTCAACTCGCCTACCAGAATCGGTCTCGACCACATCCCCAAGAATCAGATTTTCCAGCGCTTCACCACATCGCAAGACATGCCATTCATGTGTCAGAGACAATTGACGTAGCATCTGAGCATACGTCCAGTATGATCCAGCAACACGTCTCTATGGCAAACGCTCGCTCCCAACCCAGGGACAGGGGGACCTCATGTTCGTTAGGAGCCTTCAACGCTTCGATTCCCAGCTGCAGACGCTCAAGAGACTCAAAGCGCGGTCCGAATCGATACAAGCAAAGCTGCAGAATGAAATCACATTGGTAAGCTTTACCACATGACCTCAAGACCGTCGACGCATCGCTCAAGCGCGGAGCCATTCAAAAACGCTAATCTTTCTACAAAATCAGGTTTCTCGTGGGAATGTAGAATTGCGTGCATGCTCTTCATTGAATGTGCTAAGGAGATGCAGTCGAATGACGTTGCGCCGAGGCCCCGGGCCAGAATTCGTGAGACTCTGGGCTCAGGTCTCTTACCAAGATCTGGGCCAAAACCAGTCTCACAAGTTCTGGCCCCGGACCTCGGGCCCTCGTGGCCAATAGAGCCAAGCTGGCCGTGCTTGTGATATCATTGTTTGTGCGCCGCGTGCTGGAGAGTCTTACTCTCATTTGAAACGAAGGAGCAGCCAACCCAGGCGCTCGCGAGAACACCATGCACAACCTAATATACAATCTTTTTGACAAGCCAGAACCTCACGCCAGTAGTACGTCCTTGACACAAAACTAATGTCTGGAACTTCTCTTGAGGCTAGGATCATACCACAACACCCTCTTCAATTCCCGGTTCCCAGTCCATGACACTGCCGGGCAATGAGTCGGTGTCGATGCTTGACAAAGTTTGTTTTGAGGTACCATTAAGGCGCAGCTGGTATCGCAGCGACCAACTCTCAGAAGACCGAATCGACAGAGTCTCTGTGTGGTTGCCATTGCTCATAATGCTACTTGAATTCCTTTCACCAATCCGTTTGCTCAATGACTTCATGGAACGGAACCCGCTACTGAACGAAGAACGGGGCGTTAGACTGAGAGTTGGATCAATCGGTGCTATTGGCTGAGCAGGTCTTTCGACATTCGGGATATCAATGTTTTGGGGATGAACCTCCATCCTTGGACACCTTTTGATGAAATCGCTGATGGCGTCAAGAGCCGAGACCATGGATATTGGAGTCAGATTGTTTCTCGTGTGCTTTGAAGAACAACTGCATAAAACTCTGCTTGGGACAGTTTTTCTGATACAATATGATGCACAGATTTGTCAATATCGGACAAATGCAATGAAATACTCTCTGCTTCAGCCGACCAGGTGGACATGCTGATGCCGATTAAATCTCCTTTTAGCGATGCTATATCCACGAGTAAAATGGATATCGCTGCGAAAAGGTCTGGGCTGCTGATTCTCATCCCTTTGCACATCTCGTGTAGCCCTTCCACCTTATCTATCAATGGAGTTCGATCTTGGTCAACTTCACAAGTGAAAGTTTTCCACAATTCACAGAAGAGCATTTTGCTGAGTACTATCCTGATGGTTTCGGAGTCCCATTCGGGTTTCCGACCAGCGTTCACTCCCTCCGCAAGCTTCCAACAAGTGTTGTGAGAAGCGAGTGTTGAGGCGCAGCTGAAAACCAGCTTTCGAAGTCGCCCTTGATATTGATAATCTGCTTCCACCAAACGTCGCTGGAGGTCCAAGGACAACTTTTTGCCAGGTTGTGCTAGAAAGTGGATCGAGTTTGCCTCGATATACTGACCGATCAAATTTGCAGGCACTCCCCAACCTTCCTGGTGGACAGACGACCACAATTCCCAGATTGATAGAGCATGATGAAAGTAACTGTAAGCCTCATCGAACCCATGCACTCTGCGAAGGAGAATTGCTAGCTGAATGAGCAGAGTACATTCCGCTAAATGATCAAGTTTTACGTCTCCAATACCTGGCCCAATGAACCTTTTCATGATGGCCACAACATGGGCAATTTCAGCCGGTGAACTCGCCGCACGCGACATGTTTGAAGCAACCAAGACAATGAATGGGTTGTCGACCAGTTTGGAGTAAACAACCAGCACCCTCTCCCACCACCGGCTGTACAACTTGTATGCTTGTTGATAGGAGCCCACTACGAGCAGGACGTCGGCTTTTCGGATCGCATCCAGTACATTGGTTGAAGAGTTAGGTAGTGCATTGAGTATCTTTTCGGATGACATAAACTTGGACACCAGCCTGGTATATATGTCTTTACGTACACCAGGGGGGGAGGATCGATCTACCGGAAGAAGAGGCACAGCCGTTTTGGTGTCTATGATCGGCGTTAAAGCCGATGCCGTAGGAGCAGGTCTTACTTCTTCCAGATTCATCGTGTTATTAATGATATTCAGCTTTTCCACCGACGGACCATCAATCTCTGGCAATCTTTCAAGAAGGAGACCCTCGCGCAAAACTAAGGCGACATCTGGCTCTGTTTCAGAATGACTCGTCATCGACGTGACGTTCACATCGGACTGACCTACGATAGGTTGCATCGCTGGTGGATCAGCCGGAGATTTGATTCGTCAAACCAGCACTTTCAACTCTGCTTCCACAAGTTGAGATATCCTGTGTAGCGCTTGAATTCCCGGAGAGCTCTGCACGCGGGGGTTTGCCTAAGCCTGGCTCGGCCTGCCCAGTTGTTGTTTCGCTTGACGCCGCGAACGAATGCCCATCTGATAGTGGCTGCCTCACACTTGTGATAGCAAGAGTGGAACCTTGCGGCTTTCTGGAAATTGTCTTGAGCTTCGGGAGCTGCCATTTGTCAAACCTTAGCTTATATTGGTGGCGTCTGGACAACTGTCAGTTTTTAAGGGAACAAGATGTAACCCTAGAACTTTAAGAAGGCGCGCTGTGATTTGGAGGAGGCTTAAGTTGTTAGACATATAAACAGCGTTTACACTTACGAAGCCGTAAAGTGGTGATTGACATTCATGTGTTCGATTAACGCATCTAGAGTCATAGTGGGACGGAGCCTGCATATCAACTCTTTGCGTTGCTCCCACTCAAAATCGGGAATAAAAGATGCCTGTGGCGATCGTGTGTCCCACGTTAAGTGCAACTGAGCCATCTCTTGGGTTGTGCAAATGGCTCAATTTAAGGTCTGGACAGTCAACGTGGAACTAGAACTTGCCCTGGTGGAATGTATTCTTACGATAAATTTGAAAGAACAGCGGAAAGAATTTGGACAAGTTCGAATATGTACATGCTAACAAATTTATACATATACACCATGCAGCGACTGTATAACGAGAGTCGGAAATGCCCGTTTCTTCTACCGGCCTTGTCACTTGCGATGTCCACTTACCTCTTTTGGTAAGCACGATGCAACAACTCAGAGTGGCTGAACATCCTGTTTGACTGCCACTAACTACTACTAGCTTAGAGCTTCAGGTGGGATGCCGCTCCCCGCGTCCAAAATTATTAGGCGAAGACTTCGCCTCGGGTCTCCAATGTGATCATGAATGTACCGTGAGTTTTATGTTTATCAGTGCTCTCTATAACGCAGATATATCAGAGGCCAAATCTTATACACTATTCCTTATGATCCCGATTAGCCCCTTGTAGGTGTCTCCTTCCCTGCGGAGTTTAGCGTTAAGGTGGTACCCGCCAGCCCAGCAGACTTCTATAATTTTGATGTTCCTAATGCCAAGGCTGTGGAAATAATCTCAACGCTAAACACGGGTATCTCTTAACGCTAAACCCCCAACGGCAGGAGGACCACGCAGGGGTCTAGTCAGGCTCACAGGGGATAACATGGATCCCCTACACTAGGAAAAGTGGAAATGACTTAGCCCCTGGACAATATAAGGAGACGAACGACGATATCCCACCAGATCACGTTTTCCTCGTGCTACGGGGCATAACAATGTACGAAATGCACAAATGCCGAAGTCACTAACATCTAAAGTGTTCGATTTCACAAGCATACACCGCATCTCAAGATATTACCCCGACGATAAGACGCTAAGAACTCTGCGAGACGATAGCATGCTACCTGTATCTGCCAATTAAGTTAAAATGAGACAGCAATTACAGGGTGTAGGATGTCAGCGGAAGACGGAGTTCTCCGACCACCGCAACTGTTCGCCACGCGCTATTACTCAGAAACGCATACACTCACAAATGCTGCAGTTAGCATTGCAACGCTGATTTATGATCTTCTTCTAGGTGATTCTATAGCTTGCCTCTTCTATGCGTATATATAGCGGTCATCCTACTCCTCAGGGGTTGAGATAGCAAGTCAATCAATCCATTCCATCTACTTTCTCTTGCTTACTAATCTAATCTGCACTGCTTCATGGCATACTTCTAACATAGGAAAGCTAAACCATACCTAGTATCACGATCTTGTCGGAAAAGGACGTCAAGGGACGCTCGCCACTGCATTAGCCTATGCGCACTTCTAATACCCCCAACCTCTAGAGGACCAAGGCCACTTTCTGTGGAATAACCTGCTTGAAATCTGTTGAGCGAAGTTATTAGGGTATCCTGCACCAAATCTTGACCGCGACTTGGCACCCAGTTGGATTGGCCGATTTTGCTGCCTGACTCAGGAGTTAGTGATTCGGCTCAACTTCGGCTCAGCCTCTGCTCAGGCCGCCTCACTCTTGCTCACCTTCTGCTGCTCAGTCTCGCTTCATCCATACGCGGATCCCTCTTCTAAGCCCTTTATCAAGCCAGTGGAGTGGCTCGGTGAAGAAGAGACCTGTGCAACAGTGGTGGTGTGTAGATCTGATTGTCTACTAGTTGGTGGCTTACCGCCATTTATCCCAACTACCTAGTACTACACTAACTACCTGTTGCTCTACTACTGGTGTGATACTAGTGGCGAGGGGCTGTTATCTCCTGGTGAGCCTAACAAGCTCCCCTTGCCTAAAAAAAAACTTAATGTCCTTATTATGACAAAATATAAAACCGGAAGAGACTATCCACCTTTCTGTCATAAAATGCTCCAGTTTTTCATTGGCTGATAGGGTCTGCCAGCCTAGACCAAATGTAGTTAGCGCCCATAACCTTAAATCAAGTTTAGCCAATAAAAAGCCTCTCTGAGAACCTTATTTGACATAGGTACTAAGCCTAATTAGGAAGTAGCAACACCAACAGAAATGAATTTACCAACGCTCTAATCAACGCACGAAGAAGCAAACAGGGTATCCGTCGTACGAAATGGTCATGTAGCAAATGTAACATCTCAATTTGTTAAAATTCGAGATGCTGGGCGCGTCATTTGCCCTCTACATAATAGATAGAGCAATTCATTTCTGTTGGTGTTGCTACTTCCTAATTAGGCTTAGTACCTATGTCAAATAAGGTTCTCAGAGAGGCTTTTTATTGGCTAAACTTGATTTAAGGTTATGGGCGCTAACTACATTTGGTCTAGGCTGGCAGACCCTATCAGCCAATGAAAAACTGGAGCATTTTATGACAGAAAGGTGGATATATGCTAGCCTGTAGCTATCCCCCTGAATCAGTATCATTACTTTAAACGGTTTAGTGTTCCCATGAGCTATTTCGATTTACCGCGGAAAACTGTGCTGCAGCCTTGGCAAGAAGAACATCAAAGTTGATTTACACTTAAATATATTTCTATCTGCACAACTCTAATTATCAGACTTGAGATTATGAAAATAGTACCATTCGATAGATCTTGAGAATCTGAGCATTTCTACATCTTGAAGTCTCCTTGGGTGATCAAACTTGAACCAATCATTGAATCAGGATGTTTTATTTACAGCAAAAATGAGTGTAGGAAAAACACAACTTTGACTCAGTGGCGCATCAGCTGAAAAGAGAGAGACTACGAAAAGGGTAGAATATTTCGAAGGAAGACCGTGGCCACCCATCAAGTGGCGTTCCTACGTGATGGTGTTGATGCCCAATGGGGACCACTAGCGTTGCTGGCGCAGTCCGGGGACCATTGCACACTTCAACTACCTTGTCTCAAGATGAAACTAGACATTAAGTCCTCGTCTTCCATCACGCTCCTAGTACTGGTTGAGCAGCATGATGACGCTCTCGTTGGGGTGCAGACTCCAAGGAATGTATGAAGATTTTTGAACACCGATCCCATTGTAAGACTGATTTTTTCCATCGCTCACCGTGATCCGCTCACCTCGTGATCCTCACAGTCTTGGCCACGCTGGGCACGCCGTTCTGCAGCACGAACAGCATCCAGTATCCCGGCAGGGTGACGCCGGGATCGGCGGGGATGGTCACGGAGAATTTCTTGTCTGCAGCATTGCCCTTGGTGGCGACCGCCAGCTTGATGCGTCTCATGTCGTTGTTCAGCGAGTGCGTCACGGCGCTGTAGCGGATCAGGCTGGCCACGCCGTCCACGACCACGTTGGAGGTGAACGTGATGGTCTCGCCGAGCTTGTATTCGGTCTGGTGGCCGACGGTGCTGAGCTGCGGCCGCGCGACGGTGGTCTTGCCGTCGGGGGTGAATAGGTAGCCAGGGTGGTAGATCTGAGCATCGTAGTGATTCGCTTCGGGAAAATTAGAGTTGAGGCCGCCACCGCCCACCAGCACGGTAGCGTCAGGCAAGAGGACGGCCCAGGAATGGTACGCTCGGGGGATAGAGTTGGGAGTTCCGTCTCTCCACGTCTTCTTGTTATCCGGCGAGTATATTTCCGGAGTAGATACCCAAGTTGCATCGTGAAAGGGCTCACCCTGGCGCTGACCTCCGACCACCAAGGTTTCGCCGTTGGGGAGGACGATGCCGTTGGCAAAGATGCGTTGGTGTTTCATTGAAGCCACTTTGGTGGGAGACACAGGGGCGTCAACCTGTACTCCCCCAAGCTTGATTTCGAATGCGTTGTTAGTCGCTTCTTTTCGATGAGGGTCGACCTTCGGGTCCGTTTTCCGATCCTCTTTCCAGTAGTGGTAATTGGGAGCACCACCAGCTGTGAGAATGACCCCATTCTCGGCATCATACATTGAAGTGATTCCACATACTGCATCACCATCAGCGACACCAGCGGTCTTGTCTTCGCGGAATCCCGCGGCCCGAATGCTGCCACTAGGGGGTGCGGTGGAGATCCAGTTCATCTGCTTGGAAGGTCCAGCATGAAATATACTATCATTCTTCCATGAAAAGAGCCACGGGTGGTGTTGTCGCCATCCGGTGGCAATACAGGGTACCACGCCCTTGGGAGTTGTACAGTTGACGGAAATGTCCATTTTGATGTTGTTTGCCCTGACGTTGGTCAAGATCGTCCACCCGCGCGTTGAATCAAATATCTCGCCCTCCTTGTCAGCTTCGCCACCCGACCACGTTCCCCCGATCATGAAGGTCTTTCCATTGGCTAGGAACGTCTGGCCTTGGTATCCACGGCCTAGCGCAAGCTTCATGTTCTCACCTTTACTATCTTTCGGGTTCGTCCACGACTTGGTCCGGGAGTCGTAGATGCTGAACTGTTTTGGAGTGGATCCGCCTGTGACGAACACTCGACCGCTTTCATCGTACGAGGTGCCCGGGCAAAACATGTTGTGTCCTGTCTGACTAAGCAGTTCTTCCACGATCGTTCTCCCCTTTAGGTCCCATGTTGCTGCAAAGGTATGCGGGACGCCAGGTGAATTATAGATGTCACGCGCGTCGGATGCCATCGTGATCAAAAGTTGGTGGACCGGGTCCAAGAACGCCGTAACGGGTACCAGAGGGAAATTCAAGGTAACGCCCCATCTTCCTCCTTTGATAGGAGCGGACGGGATGGTGTCAGCAGCGTAGATGTTGAGGTCGCTAATGGCAACAAACTTCTGGTTTCCCGTTGTCCCAAGCACCGTGAGGCGCACAAACTGGACTGGACGAGGTTCAAAAGTGGCGTTTTTTACTGCATTAATCATCAGCACTCTCTAATTCCAACGATGCCAATGATTGTGTAGAAGATACCTACCACTACGATCGTCTCTCCAAAGTCCAAAAGCAGCCAGCTCCCACTGCCCCTTTTCTGGAGCAGTTTCCACTTGATGGCTCAGGACCACACCATCGCGCGTCAGTGGATTTGATGTCACGGCGATATTCTGCACGTTGTATTTCTTTTTGAGGTCAATTTCGATCCAGTGGCTTGCACCAGCTTGACTTTGCCAAAAAGTTTCCTTCCCCTTGGAGTCGATTGCGAGACCGCACGGGTGGTCTGGATCCGAGGTGCTGCATTTGGCCTCGAAGCCTGTCCGGTCTAGGAGATTCACTCCTAAGGGAGGCGCTGCAATGATGACCCCTTGGCCACAGCCGACGTGATTATCGGCTTTACTGCTCTGCAGCAAAGCTTTATATCCCAGTGTAGCATATTTTCTGATTGTCTGCCCGGAGAACAAAGCGAACGCAAAACCAAATATAATGAGAAGGAGTTTGAAGACAGAGGGCAGCTTCCTCTGCTTGGTACAGGACTTTGAGGGTGACGATGGGACATCATCTATGGTATAACTGGCTTTCTCCGAGTCTTCCAAAAGTATGGATTTTTCAGCGGAGTCAGATTCTGCCTCCACTGAGGTTGGCGCTTTGCGATAGAAGCGGTGGAGATTGAACATCATGATCCAGTTGGAAAGCCGAGGTCAAAGCTTTAGTCAAATAGATAGGCTGTGAAGTTGTTTGAGCAACTCAGAGGTTGTTCAGCAGCACCTTGAGCTTATAAGTTCGAAACCGTCGATTTTGGTATGAAGCCGTAAGTGCGATTGAAAGCATGGATCAAACCCGCCAGCGATTCTGCCTCTTCTTGCTGAGGTATTTTGAGGCAGGTGGTTGACGCAACGGCACAAGCGAGCCGCATTCTCATCACGCACAGATCCATCATATGACTGCAGAAATGCTGAAGCATCGACAGCTCTAGAATCCTTTCGTGGCTTCATTTTGGCCGAAAGTACTTAGGCAATTTCAACATGGATAGGATGAAGGCCGGTCCTGCACACATCACCCCACCAACTCAAGCTCAGCTGTGGGGTTTGACGCCATCTTCGCATGCCTTGTTCCAAAGAGGAAATGGCAATAGAGTGCTGTTTGCCCAACGAGGTGGACAACCGTATCCAGTACGGACTTACACAAGACTGGGGTGCCTTCAGCCAATTACGGGCCGAACGGAGACGTCCCGAAGAGGGGTCTCGACCTTTTCGGCCTTTGGCTCAGCTTTCAACAACTGACTGAAGCTCCAGACTAAGATTAATCCATTTATTTTGTGTGACAGCGTTTGCACTGTGGATTGAACCTCCGCCTATTATGTCGTAGAAATCCAGCCGCATCCGTAGGCAGCAACGGCTATGATACGAAGCTGAAAGCTACCTTCTCGTGCTAAACGCTCTTGAGCGACATCAGTGAGCACTTGCATGGCCTCTTCAATTTCGAGAACGCTACGGAGTACTCCGTATCCTTGGAGACAGTGGCTTCATCCCAAATGAGCTGCTCATGAGGAAACAAGGTAACGTGAGCCCGGCCGCAAGTAACTCTTTGAGGCAGAAATGATTGGCTGTGTCCAGCCACGAGATAATGAGACGCTTTTTCAAGGTCTACTTTGCGGAACCAGCCAGCAAACTCATCACAGGCAATGCATCCGTCACCAGGATTGAAACACAGGGGATGCTTATATTGCATTCAAGCGACTAAAACTTTCCAAATTACTGCCATTCTCGCAAGATCGTCATTGCTTAGGCCGTACGTGTGCTGGGCCCGGTGGCGGGCGCGTCGGAACCCAAGGGTGTGCTCAAAGCTGAGATGGGTGGCACGAAGAAGTACTCACCACCTTTTAAAGTCACCAGTGGAGCGAATTCTACGGTTTGCAGACTCTTGTCGCTGCCGAGAAAGGAAGTTTTCAGTTTTCCAGGCTTCCCCTCAGACGAATCCGGGACCTGGCCAATTATTGGGTCATGACCAAAGTCGGCATTGCGGAACGTTGGTTCATTGCTCCAACTCGCCTGCATGTGCTGGAAGGAATCCTCAATATGACCTTGGTAGCATGCAAACAAGAGTCCACGCGTCGATCCGTCATTTTCGTGTCCCTTATAGTCAAGTCCATATGGGATCCCGTTGCGGATCATTCTCGTGCGACGACACCTCTGATCAGGCTCATTACCGTCAAGCTTTTCCCGGATATTGGTCTTTCGAATATGTGCGGATACAGGGCATGGTGATTCAGCACCGTAAACAAAGTTGTTCATCACCTTCGCTTTCCCCGGATCTGCCGTGTCTTTTGTTTCAAAGGTGGCAATTGGAGCTCCTGTTGTGAGAGTTATCAGCAATCGAAAAATCCTGTAAGGCAAAGAATCAATGGCACAAACTGTCACTTACCACTTTGCCACCTTCCCATGAGTTTGGCACCCATCTGCTCTTGGCTTTCACATTTCGTGGCCGCCCAGTATTTTTTTGTAAGGCACTCAAAAGCAGCAACATCTTGCTCGAGCTTGCGAAAAACGAGAAAGGATCCATTTTGCATCCACGCAGGGCGCCGAACATCCTGATTCTCGGAGGCGGTCTTGTCTGTCACAATGAGAAGTTCTTGCGCAGTATTCATATTCGGCTCCGGCGCTGGGTCAGGAGAATCAATTCCATTCATCCGTGGCTGGGAGATTCCATCCTCAAACCCGAAGCTGTCATTAAGAACATAAGCCAACAAGCTAGCTCCTTTGGATTGGGAGAAACCATCTTACTGTTCTTTGCCACGATCATTGGGCCTGGTCCAGCCGACAACTTGAGAATCTGTAGGCGCGGCATCTTCAATGGCTTCGCCGTGCTTCAGAGTCACCTGGATCCTCATCAGGCGTTCCTTGACCATCTCCGGAGAGCTTCCGGCAATCTTGAGCAATCCATGAATTTTGGTCGATTGAAAGAGAACATCCCACTTTTTGGTAGCAGGGTCGTTTAGGGTGGTGCGGACTTTATCTGACGACATTCCCGCAACAAATGCCGGGTCTGTGTCTTCAATATCAAGCAAACCTAGGTTTTTCGAAGGAGAATCGTCTTGTATCTAAGACAAGTTAGCATTCAGTGACGGACATCATTGATGGAATAACTTACGGCCTTTAGGCCTTTGCTTGTAAAGGCAATCAGGGCATTCGCAATAGGCACAGTCGGAGGATGTATCTCCTTTTTTGGAATCCCTTTGAGCTTCTCTGCTGTAATATATTTCTCCCTTTCCATGGATATGAAGTTGTGGTCATCACGAGCTTTCTTCAAACTTGAAATGAGTGGTGGCGTCTGCGTCGCCAAGACCTTCAGACGTTGAGAAAAGAGGCTTGCTTTGCCTGTCTTGATTGAGAAAAAGTAGTAGGTCTCATGGTATTTTGGGAAACCTTTGGTCCAGATATCACCTTGAATGGTCCCCAACTGCTCGGGAGTCAGCACCGGATGAAGGTCCACGACAGGCGGAGGCGGGTCCATGACAGGCGGAGGGAGCTCCATGACAGGCAAAGCAAGATGAATTGTAGAGCATAGAGGTCTACGTAGAAGACTTCAAGATAGCTTGGAAGCTCATGGACAAGAAAAAGCGATTGAGCACCGGCGTAAATGATCAGTCAAATACTGAGGAGAAGGGAGAGAGTAGCCAGCTATGAATGCATTCCCAGACTTTGTAATTTTGACTTCTGGCCTTGTGACCGATCCCCAGAAGATCAAGTGGATTCTGTTCGGACTTTTGACTGTTGAGGACAGGCTCCGTCTAGTGTAATTGTGTACGATGGAGCAGCTGTGGTATGGCAAGGATTTGTTCTTTCGGGACAAATCAGCTGTCAACGATTACAGCGACATGCACGGAGCAGTAAATGGTAGATACCAACGAGAAGACAGAAGCTCACCGAGCTAGTTTGCTCCTCATGAATCTAGAAGCCTGTTCAAGACAGTCATTTTCCATCTGGTCCATTCATCACATCGGTAATCAGCTTACTCGGCCTTTACAAGGCTCTAGAAGCCTGCAGAAACATGTTTGCATAGCTAGCTTCAGTGCAAAGCTTGGTGGTCAAGCCTCAGGTCCCAACCTCTTTCCGGCCTCTCCAACCCAGGATAGCGCATACAGCCCAATTTGTAAGCTTGAGAGGAGTTCTAGCAGCTGACGATGAGGAACCTACTGCTCAACCAAGACACCTCGGCCAGAGGAAGCGGCGCCGTACAGACGAGAGAACTGGCGCAAGCTCCTCTATCACTAGTCGTGGGCTGGGCCGGGTTCTTGATAGTCTCGGAGGCCGGGGCAACAAGCCTGCGGGTAGCTAGGGCCCTGCGGTGGGGAAGGGTCTGAAAGACCAGGTTGTAAAACGAGTTTTAGGTACTACAGATCGTCGTGGAAAAAGCTGTTGTGCTACTGGCTGTTATGCTGCATACCGTTGTAGCACGAGTTGTAGTACTACAGATCGTTAGTGGAAATGCTACATGCCGTTGTAATACGATTTGTAGTACTACAGATCGTTCAAGCTACTGTCTTGTAGCTTAGGACCGGATTTCAGAGCTCATTCTCGTAAAGCAGGAACTTTCTCAGAAGGGGACTGAAACTGGTCTCCTCGCCTTAAAATATAAAAGTCCTCAAGATATTTATTAACCCACACGTTGTGGCATGATAAAAAGGAGGCAGGGGCTCGACTGGGCCGCGCTCAGGCGGAATGCTTCAGGGCAGTACCATTTGGCAGTACCATCTGGGCATTGGCGTTCAGACACTGTTAACCGCCGACCCTATCAAATTTGGGTGCGTACTTGGGTATCAAGTGTCCAACGCGTGATTTACTACAACACGTTTAGGGAAATTCCGTTCGTACGGTGTAGCCTCTATTCTGCGGTACTGGGTAAATGAGGTTCTTGATGTTTGCCTACAGAATGCCTCCCTCTCCATTGCCTCCACCGCGGTCTTTACTCTGCGCGTGATTGCATCATGATGCTTGAAATTTGGCCTCCAAACAGGGTTCTTTACCTGTTCAGGTAGCTTTGTAGGTGACTCTGCCTCCCTCTGAACCTGTTCGACCAACTGTACAATCTGGGCGTTGGCCTGGAGGATGGCCTGATCGACACGGGCCTTAGCCTCGCCCTGTAGGCTATCTCGGAGGTCAATCAACTTCTGGGCGCTCTGAGTGACCTGATTCCGAAGGGGGGAGATAGGCAGGGTAATGGTGTTGATCGAGGGCTGCCAGTTGCCGAACCGAGTGGTAGGGCCAAAGATCCACCACCGTGGGTGACAGAGAGAGTGAGGGACAGGCTTCATACTTTTGTAAGACTTCTCTCAAGGCAAGGATTCGACACTAGCTGCCTTGCATGACAGTGCAGATATTGGCAGCTGACGCGGTCGCCATGTGTGTTCGCATTGTGTCCCTAGCAGAAGCCGCGTATATTTATAATATCCTGAGGGAGGAGGTCGCAGAGCCAGTTTACGCCGTTCGCAGCCTATTATGTCTTGTCTTAGTGTCCATTCAGCCCATGAACAGCGACGATGCTGATGCAAATATCAGAACGAGTCATATAGCACTAGACAATGGCTTACTAATAATAGGATCAACGCCGTCTGCAACTGTCTTCAGTCCTAGAGGAACTATGTCCAGAGCAGCTTCTGATGTGGACAAAGAGGTTTCTGTCTATTACAGGCATCAGCTGTTACAGCACGTGAACACGCCAAGCACCGACAGGCACTACGGAGCTGCCTGACACTCTGCGAAGGAACTATGACAGACTTGGACAGGACTGGACCCTGAACTACACACATGGTCAGACCTGGACAACGTAATGATCAGAGGTGATCAGGATGAGCACTCATGAGCAATGATCAGAGGTGATCAGGATGATCAACTCTGAGCACGAATCTCCTACTCTATATAAGCACGCTCATTTCCCAGATAGTTTCATAGTCTTTATAGTCAACTCATGTTATCAGCTCATACCTAAGTTGAAGACATTCTAGTATTGTTTACTACACTTCCTGTTCTATCTAATCAACTCTTTAGACCTAGCTTCTAGTTAAGACTTGTCTTAACTAGTTAAGCCCTAATACTTTGATTACTACTCTTAAGAACACTGAGTATAGTTAAACAGATACTATATATATCACCTAAAAATATATACTATATTAGTTATCTTAGAGCTAATAAGCACCGCTACTATTAAAGGCTAAGGAAGGAACGTATAGTTTAAAGTTGTACTACTAAACCTATTTTATAGAGATAAAAAGAGACTTTAAGAATTCTTAAACTAATTATAAATTAACTTCTTATTTTATATATAAGTAATAAATACTAATAAAAAGAAGATTTTATATATAGTCATCTTTTTTTAAGGGGCTATATACAACTAGTTTAAACCTTACCTTAAAGACAAACTTAAAAAGGCAATAAAAGACTAAGAACTAGATACGTAACAGATCTTTTATAGTTTTGCTAACTTTATAATTAAGATTAAATAAGTATATAAAGATATAAACATAGTTAAGAAAGCTAAAAGAAATCTATTACAAATAAGGCAGAAGGGATCTGCTACAGACTATACTTTTAGGTTCTACTAAATCGCCTTACAAGTAGACTAAAAGGACTCTGCCTTATTAGTCGTCTTTTATAAAGAGCTAAAAGACTCTATTAAAGATAATTTATCTAAGATTAATTGACTTAGCGAGTTATTACTCTTAATTAAAATAATAATTAAGATAAATAATTAAAACTATAAAAGACAACTTAAAAAAGGAAAAAAGAACTATATTATTATTCTAATGTAATACTAAGCTAATATATAACATTTAAAACATAGGGTTTAAGGATATTACTCTGTAAAACGAAACATGTCTATAGATTTAAATATAACTTAGAAAGAAAAGAAATAAAGGTTACTTAAGAAGAATTAGGATAGTAAAAGCAAATAAAGAATTTCTGGTGAACTTGTAATAAAGAGACATAAGAAAGAACTATGCCTACGTTGCGAAAAACCTAGCTATTATACTAAGGATTACAAAGACGCAAGGCAATAGTTAAGCATTACAGAAGAGAGTCTAGAGGAAAACTATAAGCCTTAGAGAAAGAACTAAGCAGATAAGAAATCTATAGAAAAGAAAGGCGACCCTAAGGAAATATTATAAAGATAACTAAGGAAAAGTATGCCTAAGACGTTATATTATCTATTATTTTAGATTATTTATTATAATAATAACTATAATATATATTTA